GAACGCGGCGGAACCGCGTTCCGGCACCTTTTTCCGGGCCGGCCGCACCGGAAATAGCCCCTCCCACACCGGAAATAGCCCCTCCCAAATTTTACTTGCATTCCTGTTCTCTAAAGGGGCGGTCCTAGGGTTTGATGAGGGCGTGGCCAGGTTTGAGTTCCGCCACCTTTTCTCCGAGAAAAAAAGCCCTGGACAGAAGTGCAAGTGCAAGTGCCTCTGTCTCTGTCTCTCTCTCTCTCTCATGGGACTTGCCGGAGGGCCGTGGGAGGGCTGCATTTACATAGAGCAGGGAGGGCTGTTCGAGGGCTGGATTAAACCGGAACGCGGGCCGCAAATGGCCCGCGGGCCGGACTTTGGACATGTCTGGTATAGACCATACGCATATTTTGCTTGGTTCTTATCACAGAGACAGTAATTGAGCTTCCTCAAAGAAATATAAATTTAATATATTTTGAGATTGATGCATGCTGAATTCCGCCTACCACTTGGTGGCAATTATTTGGAATATCTGCCACTGCAGCAAGACCACTCTTGTTCCCATTAAACCACCCCATTATTCTTTCTTCCCATGTGGCCTAGATGCAGTGAGAGAATAAAGTTGTGGGTTCATAGAACATGGGCAAAATTAGAAATTATCTCCCAATTGTATAAGCATTGAAGGAGAGAGAGTAGCATAGCCTTGCTACCTATTTAAAAAAGCTCCAAAGATGAATTTCCTTGGAATTTAATAGAAATATGGAGAGCCAATGCAAACCACTGAAGACAGAACTGGGCAGAGAAATATAGGCCCTCTTGTAACCACACACACTCTTGAGAATTTTACCAAAGTTTATCTTAGTTGTTGAAGAGGTTTCTAAAGCACAGAATCTAAAGAAACTAAAGAAGTTTCCTTAGTTGATGAAGAAGTTTTCTTCATTATACTAAATGGAAACTGGTAGGAAGAAAATGTAAGAATTTCTCTGCCTGGTCCTGTCTGTTTAAACAAAGGAAATGCCTGTTGAGGACCAAACTTGACCCCTATTTCAGATGCTCAAACCTCCCTTTGTTTTTGCAGGCCTGCCATGTGGAAGGTGGGAGTGCAGGGCTGATCCCAAGCCAGCTGCTGGAAGAGAAGCGCAAGGCTTTTGTGAAGCGTGACCTTGAAGTCACACCATCTTCAGGTAACAGGCAGAGATCCTGTCAGCAGCAGAATTGGAACCACTTAGGAACATGGAAAACAAGATTCTCTATAATGTCAACAAGACCAATAGAAAATTAGTGCTACACGTCCATGTTAGCGATCTGGCTACAAGCATTCGTGAACATCAAAGTGTAAAGAACACAAGACAGCCTTGCTGGCTCTGGTCTAAAGCCTGTTTGCTCAATGAGCAACCAGATACAACCCAAAAACTCATAAGCAGCATACGAAGGTGATAGCATCTTCTACTGCTACTATCCAATAGTTGGTATTTAAGACATACCGGTACTTTATTTCCTTCTGGTCTGGAGATTATATAAAGCTATCAGGATCAGAAGCCAGTGTAATAATTTTTCCTCCGTTTTTTTTCTTCACCATCTTTCAAAATTGTCTAAAGAATTGATGTTATCTCAGCATTTTTGGCAATGAATTATATAGTTTAACTGTAAAAGTATTATTTTTATCGGAAAAACGGATTAGTATCTTCCCCACATAACTTTCTCTCATTCAGCGAGTTTTATATTTAATGGAACTGAACTCAGCCCTCCAAGGACTAAGTCCAACATTTTAATCTTTATTCAACAGTGTTTATTCTCTCTGAACTTTCTCTTGGGGGAGACTTTGGGAAGAATTCAGGTTTATTTTTCTTCCAAATTTACAAGTTTAAGTTCTGTTTGTGGTTAATTTTCTTTGCTTGCTTTCTTAGGTTTGTACACCACCTAATTTTGGAGACTTGAGTTAAGCAGCCCTTTAAATCTTTATTTAACAAATGTGATTATTTATTTAAACCTTTATTTATTTAAAGGTGGGTAAATAATGTCACTAACAGATAGCAGTGCTGATGTGCTTGAAGTTCTGTCATTTTTTTAGCATCTTTTTTTTTTACCCCTTCCAAAAGGTTGCATTACTATAGTTCATAAAAGGGAGATCTTCAGTGAATATTCCTTAATGCACTTTAAACAATGTGCAGTGATTGAATTTTTGACTGCTGAAGTCTCTCTATTTGGGACAAAAATGTATAAAAATAGTGAACTGGGTATAAAAATAGTGAACTGGGAAAAGCTGATTTCTGAAATCAAGATCAAAGTATAGGTGGCCCTTGACTTATAACCATTCTTTTAATGACTATTCAAAGTTACAATGGGGCTGGAAAAGTGACTTATGACCATTTTTCACAATTACAACTACTGTATTACAACCCAGTTATGTGGTCAAAATTTGGATATTTGACCACTGTCATGTATTTATGAGAGTTGCACTGCCTCAAGGACATGTGATCACTATTTGTAACCTTCCCAGCCAGCTTCCAACAAGTAAAGTAAATAGGGGAGCCAGATTCAGTTAATGACTGCATGATTCACTTAACATTATGTGATTATTTGCTTAACAACTGTGGCAAAAAAGATTGTATAATGAGGTAAAACTGCATTGTTTAGCAAGGGAAATTTTGAGGTCAATTGTAGTCGCAAGTTGAGGATTATCTGTAAGTGGCCAATAAAAGCAACAAAAGAGTTTTACATCATAAAAATTGATGAAATAATTAAAGACAATAAAAAGGGAATTGCAAAACTTAGTGTTTTGCAGAACTGTATGCGATTCATTACTGACATTCTTCAGCATCAGAAAGTTTATGCAAAAAAGGTTGGTCACATTCTGACAGCAGAGATAACAGCTTCAAGAACTGAAATGTACAGCAGTTGTTGTCATGCAATGAGAAAGGAGGTGATGAATTTTTGTCACAGCATTGTGACAAACCACAAAACATGGGCTTATGATTATGATTCAGACATGAAGTATCAGTCCATATTGTTATTCAATGGATTTCCTTGAATCTGGCAACACAATCAACTCAGAGGATTACATTGTAATACTTGAAATTTTTAAATAATTAAGCAGAGTTTAAAAACAAAAGAACATTTTGCGGCAACATGACAACTCTAGGACTCTTTATGAACCATTCAAGAGGCAACTGCAAAGTTGGATCTCCCTGTATTACCCTATCTGCTATGCAGTCCAGTCTTGGCACTATGCAACTTGAAGTTTTTTCCACAATTGAAGAAATACTTTTATGGGCTTCTCTTTGTCCCAAATGAAGTAGTAGAAATAATTGTTTAGAGTAGATAAACTGGAGATTTTTATGACAGCCTTAGGAAACTTGTCCATTGTTGGCAGAGAGGATCTGTGATTATGTGGAAAAGTAAGTACAGATAACAAAAGAAATAATGTCAAGGTTTATTTTCCTATTTCATTTATTAAAATATTTCTATTTGAAATTATGGAGGTGAAAGTATTATTTTTCATTCATCTCTTTTTATTTTTATTGGTCTTGAGCCTTCCCTTTTTTCTTTCCTCTTCAGTTTTGTGAATTTGTAGCATAGTTAGATAATTCTATACTCTGGATTTCTAACAATTTTAAGGGGTGAGATACTTTTCCAGATGGTAATATGAATTATTTTACTTATTTCAAAGTATATAAATCACTGTCCAGATGCAGTTGGATAATAAGTGCTTATTAGATCACACTAAAGACACCTTTAGTTTAACATTTCGCTTCAGTGTACCAGTTTCAACTAAGATTGGACCATTTTAATGATTCATTACTGCTTGTCAATATCACGTCATGTAGAAACAATTGAGAGATATCATTTTTTGTTTTATCCCATCAAAAAAAAACAAACCTCAAGCACATAGAGAGGATTTGAATTGACAGCTCTTTGACTATAAGCAGAGAACAATTACTATAATTAGACCATTTCTTAAACAGGGTTTTTATTATTAATTATTTCCTAGAGCTATCTCATTCTGGAATTTACTGAATTTGCTTTGTGTTTTCTTTCTTCTTCTGGCAGGGGCCTTGTGTGGAAGCCTTAGTGGAAAGAAAAAGAAAAGGATGATGTATTTGACCACCAAAAATGCAGGCAAGTATGGTACTCATCTTTTTCTAACTAATGCCTGAAGCAAACATAGTTGCAGAAATCCTTGACAAAACACTGTGTCCTGTAATCTTCTCCATCCCAGCCTGTTGTTCATCAAGGTGGTATTTTGAATAGAAGAAAGGTAAGAAGAGGCAAAGTCTTCTTTCTTGGCACTATGTTTATTTAGAAACGTACATGGTTGCCTATATTACGCAAAATAATCCTAGGTGGTTTACACAATGTCACATATTGTCCCCGTACTCTTAACCTTGTTGGGCTTGCTTCTATCCTAGTCTAGGGCCTAGGTAAAGAGCCAGGTTTCACACCCCTCCAAAGAGTTAATAGGGCAGAGATCTTCCAAAACTCAGAGGGGAGGCTGTTCCAGAGGGTTGGGGGAACCACAGAAAAGGCATATTCCTGAAGTCCTGCCAAATGACAACATTTAAGCGAAACAACCAGAAGCTTGCCTGCCTTGTCTGACCTGGTGGAATGGGCAGATACTCTCAGGGAGAAAACCTGGTTTTCTGGCTTTAAATATTTTTGTACAGATTCTTCAAAAGAACAATATGTTTAGAATTTATTATTCTATTTCTCCTACTGCACGTTTGCTTGCAGACCTGTGAATTTTTAATAGCTAATCTGGGAGATGGAGAGGTCTGGTAGGGTTGGCATTCCTAGTAAATGATGGATTTGGGGAGTTGGAATAGAGGGGTTTGATTTGTCAAATGGTAACTTAGCAATGTTGTCTCCATTCTGATGAATCAGACTACTTCAAAAGAATAATTTCTTCATATAAGAAGATAAAAAATACCAAGCTAATCTATTTTGGCAATTTCTTAAATCTGTCCAAATATTTTTCTCTGGAAAAACTGCCAAGACTGCATTTACCCAGCTCAGCCTACAGAAATGGACTCTGTAGTCTAACCGGTCTCAGAAGGTCACAGGGACTAGTGACCAGTTAATTCTGCAGTACACTTAACAGTGATATCTTTCCTCTTCATTGCAGAGTTTGATCGACATGAGCTACTGATCTATGAAGAAGTGGCTCGAATGCCCCCTTTCCGCAGGAAAACTTTGGTGCTCATCGGTGCCCAGGGGGTTGGAAGGCGTAGTATTAAGAACAAGATTATCATGTCTGACCAGTCTCAGTATGGAACTACCATCCCATGTGGGTCAGGGCTGTGGTGGAGTTCGGAACAGAGTGTCTTTTGACCATATTTGTTCTCACTGGGTTTCTGTGTACTCTTCTACTATATTTTAGTAGCATTGTTTAGTTGCAAGGTTGGGCACAGAGAACTTATAGGATGTTGGGCAGCCTATGATTTTCATCCAACAACAGACTTCTTCCACTTGAGGAACAGGCATTATCTGGAGTCAAATCTTACTTAAATACTGACAGTGAGGCAAACATTCTTCATTACATTTGAATATATGAGGCTCAGGGTACACCTGTGTTTCAAAGGGGTTGCTCGTGCTTCCAATTCTCTGCATCTATGGTCTTAAGCAATCAATTCACCTACCTCAGAAATAGCATCGCTCATATTTTACGTATGCTCGTTTTTTTCATGGAAACCTTTTCTTCATGTAATTTCTTGTTGGGAAATACTAAACAATGCCAAGGTTCTTTTTAGTGGAAAATATTTTGATTTCATAGACAGGCAGGCTGAGAAGGAATTATGTACCTGAAGCAACCTGTGGATGTAGAAAAAATATGGATTTACTCTAGTTTCTCAGTTTTCTTCATTGAATGGATTACCTATGAAGTTCTGTATAATGCTATATAGTAGTATATGATGCTTAGTATATCTGGAGACATTATGTTCAAGCCCCAAACACTCCTTGGTGACTTTCAGCCAATTCCTACCTCTCAGCCTTACTTTCCTTACATTGGAGAGATCCCTGTAGATAGCAATAACAATAGCATTTTAAACTCACTCCATAGCCCTTTACAGCACTCTCTGGGCAGTTTACAGTGTATAATGCCCCCCAACAAGTCTTCATTTTACTGACCTAATTTTACCAAGATCTGATATTTGCCTTTCGATTGCTCAGCCCTGGGAATTTGCTAAATTAATGCTGGCTCTACTGTATGTTTTGGCCTAGTTTTTGCCATTCTTTCAAAGCAGGAGAGAAAAATATTACAAAACCTGGAATGTTCTGTTTCTTACTGGTGTAGTCAACCTCCTGCCCAATCACTTCATTTGCCTTATTTAATTTACTGGTTATGCAATGTGAACTGTGCTTTTTAAAACGCTGTGCTAGCTTTTTTAAGCCCTGGGGAGGGGAGGAAGAGCACTTTCAAAGTGCTTTAAAAGTGTGCATCACACCCTTTGTTGACTGGTTCAATGAGCACTTGGAAGAACTTTCCTTTCTCTTTTGTCATGGTATGGGAGATTGTAAACCAGTTTTTTAACTTATAAAAATTTTGGATGGAGGCATTGTCTGTGATGTTGAACAAGGGGAGAGTCATCGGATCCCCCAGCCTGGGTGTTTTTCTCCCCTTTAGACACCATAGAGAAGTGTTTCTTATTTTCAAAAGATATAAATCTCCTAAATATTGTGAGGACAATTATCATCCCAACTTTATTATGAAAATTGTGCGAAGGCAACACGAGAGAAAGACGTTGTCACCAAAGGTCCTGTGAAGAAGCTGCATGAGTAACCCTAGAAAGGAATATACCAGGAAATAAGAAAGAGAAGGAGGAACATTACATCACAGGGATCTAGAGATTAAACCCGAAAGTCTAAACCGGTAGTCCTCAACTTACAACAGTTCAGTCAGTGACCATTTGAAGTTATGATGGCACTAAAAAAAGTGACTTATGACCACTTTTCACATGACAGTTGCGGCATCCCCACGGTCACGTGATCAAAATTCAGATGTTGGCCAAGTGACTCACACTTATGACAGTTGCAGTGTCCTGGGGTCATGTGATCACCTTTTGCAACTTTCTGACAAGCAAAGTCAATGAGGAAGCCTGATTTACTTAACAACTGTATTAGTGACTTAATAATTGCAGTGATTCACTTAACAACTGTGGCAAAAGGGTCATAAAATGGGGCAAAATTCACTTAACCAGTGTCTCAGCAACAGAAATTTGGGCTGACTTGTGATCATAAGTTGAGGACTACCTGTACCAGGTCTAATAGAAACCCAATGGGAGGATCTGCAGTACATAGAGAAACAAAAGAAAATCCAGGACCATGCAAAGAGTTTTCTTCTAGACCTGGATCAAAGGCTAAATATCAGTTCTGACTTTTAATCATGACTAGGAGTTACAGGTCATCTCCATATTCAAAATGAGGAAATGAGAACCATTGGACTCTGAAGTGTACCTGTTGCAGTTTCATGAAAACACCAAAGACTTTCCTTTTTTTTTTTTAAGACCCTATAATCCCTCAATTCGGGATAGAGTTCAGGTGACTGAAAGAAGCTGAGTATTTATTGGCTGGATGCCCTTCCTGATGCCTACGGATATGTTCTCTTTGTGCCTTGGAAGGTGATTGTCTTCACCATCAGGCCACCAGGCTGCTCAAAAATACCAAAAATTGTGGCATCATAAAATTATGTCACTTTAAAAATGTTTTGGTAGAGTTATATCTGACCATGATAGTATCCAGGCTAAAAACATTGCCAAAGTTTATTCTAACTGAACCCAGTTTCTTTATCTCTGACAGACACCTCACGGAGGCCCAAGGAGCATGAAAAAACTGGACAAGTCTATAGCTTTGTGACTAGAAGTGAGATGGAGAGAGACATCAAAGCAGGCCGCTATCTGGAACATGGTGAATATGAGGGGAACCTCTATGGAACCAAGATTGACTCCATTCATGAGGTTGTGGAGTCAGGCAAAATGTGTATCCTAGATGTCAACCCACAGGTAGGGAATCTTTCCCATTATCCACTGGTTACTTAGGTAGAGATTTGTCCATTTACAGCAGGGGTGTCAAACTCGATCGCGTCACATGACATATCATGACATTTTTTGCCTTTGCCTTTGCGGAGCTGGGGTGGGCATGGCCTGCACATGATGCCTCCGGCCCACAGGCCGCCAGTTTGACACCCCTGATTTACAAGACTCCGGACACTTTGGGGTTCTGTAACTTTTAGAAATCGCAGTATATCTGTATAAATTTTTAATATGCCAGCTTCTTCAGTTGTAATAATCCTAACTGTGACTGATAAATGGAATTTCCCCCAAATTCAGTTTTCTCTGTTATTGTTGAAATGTTGACAATTATACTGCCTCATGTTCATGTTACTGTGCAAATCATATTTCTACACATTTTTCTCCCAACATACATGGAGAAACAGCTATTCACTACGTTGGTGTCAACCTTAGTTTATTTGTATGATCTCAAGATCCTGAATTAGTGTTGTGCTAACCTGGAAAATGGAATAATTCTGCAATCAAGTTAAATCCAGAGTAAATGTGTGACTACAGAAAGTGAATAGCATCTCTATTTTGTATAGTGCCTAGCATGCTAGCGGTGTGGAAAGATGGCATTTGTAATGGCAATTATTCTCTTTGTTGGATATTTGGATAGGCTGTGAAGGTGTTGAGGACAGCTGAGTTCGTCCCATATGTGGTGTTCATTGAAGCACCAGATTTTGAGACTTTACGAGCTATGAACAAAGCAGCTTTGGATAGTGGTGTAGCTACTAAGCAACTCACGGTGAGTCTCCATGAGAAGTTTTCAGAATCTGGAAATGAGAAGAAGTGACAATTTGGGAAAGGAGCTAACTAATCATGCTAAATTCTATAATTTTATATTGTACTAACACTTTTGTGTTTGTAACCTTTAATTGGGCAGATTGGTGCGTTATAAAGCAAAATCTTGTCAACAAAGAGACCTCAAATGGACTAACCTACCAATGCTGGGACCTGGTCACATGATCCTAATTTTCAATGTTCCATGACAGTTTCCCAGCCAGTCATGCAATCTCTTGCTCCCACTCCCACTCCCAGCAGCAGCCACTTAACTACCTCCTGGGAAGGGAAGAGGAGGGAGGAAGGGAAGGAAGGAAGGAGGAAGTGAATGACCATTGTAATTTTTCTTGCATACCCCCACATACTTTTCCTGACCTGCGCTGTGATTATAATTAAGTGGCCTATAGCAAGGGTGCGTTTGCCTATTGGCCCAGAAGCTATATTTAACATTTGCAAGGTTGAAAGCTTCAGTGGGTGAAGTGATGGTGCAAAATGGTTGAGGCTGTGTTATGCACAAGTCAGAATTTTATTTTTATCCCTTTATGAGTTTGGGGAGGGGGTGTTGTGCTTATCTATGTATGTATATATGACTAGGTGTATATATATACACATACCATACACAAAGAGCGAGTGTTAACAGTTTTTGTATATTTTCACTTCAGAATGGTATGAAATCTACCTATAGAATTTCAGTGGCTGCCTTCCTCTGATTTACAGCCTAATCTGCTTTTTTCTGTATTTAACCAGGATGCTGACCTGAAGCGTACTGTGGATGAGAGCTGCCGAATTCAGCGCGGCTATGGGCATTACTTTGATCTCTGCTTAGTGAATGATAATATGGAGCGGACATTCCAGCAACTTCAGGTGGCCTTGCAGAAGCTGTACAATGAACCACAGTGGGTTCCTGTCAGCTGGGTTTACTAGAAAGGAGTTCCCCTCTCCTGTCCATAGCTCTGAGCCTTGATTTTCCCCACTTTCTATTATCTCCATTTTTGCCAGGGGACCCTAGATTTTTTTCTTTTAATGTGCCCATGTCCCTTTTCAACCATTAACCTTACTCAAGTATCTAGGCTGTATAGATCAAATTCAGTTGGCTTCACTCTATTCTAAAGAAAAGGTGTTTCATCATTCCATTTCAGAACACCTTCAGCCTACCAGCATTTTTTTTTATTGCCGTAAGTGAATGGATGTCCTTCATCTCCTTCTTTTTTTTTTTACAGTAAGTTGTTTAAATATGAATTCAATCTGGTGAACACAGAATTGGAGGAGGAGTGGAGCAGAGCTACGCAATACCCACAATGCCTTGCTAGATTTGCTACTCCTGATCCTCTCTTTTGTAATTCAACCATTGTGAGATGAGAAGGATATTTCTCCAGTCACAGCTAACTCACTGCCAAAATCGCTGTTTTTCTAGATGGACCACAATTCTGATATTGCCAAAAGAACTTGTCAGCCTGAGATAACTGGATGTCATGCTCACTGAGATTGTTGAACCAGGGCAGAATGTCTTGCCCATATAAGCCTGGCCTGCACTAATATTGAAAGATTTAAAGGGGATATATGGATACATCCATAAAAAGTTTATAGTGGAAATTTATGAATGATTGGTCTTTTGGCAGGAACTTTGGATGGAAGCTTATCACTAGGGCAGTGCTGTGTCTCATTTTTGCTATCTGTAAAATGGGGCTAAGTATAATAGTAATTATGTTTACACTCTGTGATATTATTTGTGAAAATGGTGCAGATCTCTTGGTTGAAATTCTTGGAAAGCTATTCCAACTTATAACAGACAAGGTGGATCAATGATCTAGCTGAACCCAACGGTTTTATATAACATTTCCTATGTTCAACTGAGATTTCTTTCTTATCCTACCAGCCTTCCAGAAACTGACGTATTAATAGGAAAGATGCTTGGCTGTTAAACTGAACATAAATAATTATTTCAGTATTAGTCAATCTGGGTGTTTTTCCAAGTTATGGACTTCATCCTCCAGAATTCTCAGTCTTCTCATGCTGACTGGAAAATTCTTGGAGTTGAAATCTATACCTCTGGCAAATTCCTACTTTGGCAAAGATTGACCTGTATTATTCATTGATCCAAATTGCTGCTGCTTCACAATAATTGTATAGGTAGTCCTTGATGTACAACCATTTGTTTAATGACCAAAGTTACAATGGCACTGAAAAAAGTGACTTATGACCATTTTCACACTTACGACCATTGCAGCATCAATGGTCATTTGATTAAAATTTCTATATTTGGCGACGGGTTCATATTTATGACCATTGCAGTGTTCCAGGGTCATGTGATCCTCTTTTGTGACATTCTGACAAGCAAAGTCAGTGGGGAAGCCACATTCAATTAACAACTGTTAATTAACAACTGCAGTGATTCACTTAATCACTGTGGCAAGTAAGACTGCAAAATGGGGCAAAACTTAGTTAACAACTGTCTCGCTTAGCAACAGAAATTTTGGACTCAATTGTGGTTGTAAATTGAGGACTGCCTGTAATACACGCTGATGCATACCATAAATCTCTCTCCCCACAGTTTCTATATCCATTCAGGGCAGGCTTCTCAACCTCCACCATCCACATGTTTGAACTTCAGGATTCCCTAGGCAACACACAGCCATTACTAAGAATTCCTCATGTTGAGGAAGGCTGATTCAGTTCCTTGGTTGTGCCAGCCTTGCCTTCAGTGGCATTCTGTTGGGTTAGAGAAATGCCCATGATGGACCATCCAGTTTCTCTCCACCTTGGCTTTTGCCATAATGCTAGGTTCAATGCTCCATGGTTCTAGGGTTCCTGAGAGGGCAATTACCACTACCTCACATATTGTGGCAGCTGTTAAATGGTGGCAGAAGCCTCTGCAGACCAAAGGTAGGACCTTGGGCTCAGCTTTTCACTGCCAGATCTAGAAGGGCATTTCTAGCAATCCTTTTATATGCATTTAATTTCTTTATTTCCACCTGTCCTCATTCTGATTTTTCCACATCTTACATGATGCTTGGAAAAATGCTGAGTCTGCCTAAATTGGTTGGAATAGGGACAGGGTAGCGTGAAGAGATAAGATTAACAGCCCTGGTGGAGCTAGCCTATTTAGTCCAGGATTCTGTGTGTCACACAGTGGCCAAACACTCAAAAACGATTTCCCTCTTCCTGATCTCTAGGGTAGATTGCCCTTGTATGCTGGAGGAAGCATGAATTTGTTTTGTCTTCTTTTAAAACTATTAAATTGTGGCCATACCACATCTGATGGCTGCACACTCTGTTATTTACCTGGGCTTTGTGTAAAAGCATTTTGCTGTACTGGTTCTGAAACTTCCCTGCATTTGAATTCAGAATGGAAAGACTTCCCTTCTCAACTGGAAAAATTGACTAACGTGGGTGACTTGGTTACTGCACACCCGGTCACCTTCCTTGTTAGATTTTACTTTCCTGTAACCAGAGCATTTACTTTGTAAAGCAATAACTCGATCTGCTGGTAATCAAGTGTGGTGGGCCTATAATTTTAGTGTCCTACAAACACTATTCAGGGAATCGACTTGACTATTGTGGGGACAGCAATGCATTAAGGCAGTTTATATTTAAGTATTGGCTATAGCTCAACCTCCCCCCCCCTTTTTGGAAGTATTTCCATATGGCACTAAATACACACAGATGGGGAAAAGGGGTAATGCTGGGGACAGTTGGTGGGTGGGTGCAAATAATTAAATGTTTTGTTATTGGCCTAGCAGGACATCTACTTTGTCAACCTAGAAGCCCAACTTCATAGCAATCCTATAATGTACCCACAATATATTCTAGATCAGCTCATTAACACTGAAAGATTTGGGAACCATTATTCTAATCCACATTTTCTTCCCCATTTGCTATATAAAGAACGCATGCCAACACCCCCCCCCCCCCAATTTATCAGATTTATCCTATATTTCCTTTCCTATTGTTACCACAATAGGAATACTTCAACCTCCATACTTTGAGCATGGCGATCTGGGCTTTACTCTGTGATCCATACACAGTAAGTTTAAAGGGATCTATTGAGGTGGGCCTTTGAAGTGGATTAGATGAAGGAAACCATTATTGTCTAATTGGAGCATCCGTGTTTTTCAAGATGGGCCCAGAAGGATTTGACTTTCATGTCAAGCACCAAAATGCCCCTACACCAATCCCATTTTACGTTTTTTCCCTTCATGTAACTTCATTTTCTTTTCTCCTGTGCTTAAGCCCTTTGCATTCCCTCAGTTTTGATCCTTCCATCTGTGTGTCCTCAAACAACTCAAATGTAACAATTATCTGGCTTTTAATTCTTACTTCCAGCATTTTCTGTCTCAGTAATTACAAGGGCTAGATTTTTTTTTTTGTTCCTTTCTATAATATTGGTCATTAAAACACACCTATAATATACATGGTCAAATAAGAAATTATCCACAGAACAGTCCACTTAGTTACTATTTTAGTAACTATTTATTTAGGCATTTCCCTTTCTACATGCATTTATATATGTTACCAGTGAACAGCATTAACATTTCTAACAGTTTTGCTTTTATATATATGTATATTTAAAACTGCATATACTGTGAAATAGAATTCCTTGGAACTGTAATTTCCTGTATTCGTCTTCTTCCACTTTTAATTTCTTTTTTTAAAAATATTGCAGATATCTTCCCCTTGAATAATCTGATGTGTTTTTAAAACCAGAATATTACCTATTTAAAAGGTAAATAGTTAAGTGTCTATTTACTGTCTGTATTAGATGAGTTTTCTCAAAAGTGTTGTTATTTCAATTAGCATCATGTACTGGCAAATAATGGTTTATGTCTTCTTTTTTTAAAAAAAAAAACATCTTGAAGGCTTGACTTGGCAGAGTTTCCTCTTCTTTATAAGTGTTAATTTCCTCTTGATGCTAGGCAAAAATGCACTCATTGTAGATAGCCAAAAGAGAAATTATCCAAGTTTTCCTATTTTGAATTATGTTTTATTATAATTGGATATTTATTTGTAAACAAGAGCAATTCACTGAATATAGGAATGTTTCAAGTTTATTGTGCAGTTATTACCAATCACATGAAGAACCTAATTTGAACTTTCAGTGCAAATATTTGATCTTGGCTACTCAGTTCTGATCTCATACTTACTCTTGCGTTGGTTTGGGTTTCCTGGAAACTACTCAGATCAGTGTCGATTTGTTCTGGCACTTTGGAATGGAGATGACCTGTACTTCCTGTTCTCCTTCCAAGGTGCTTCTTCTTCTTCTTCTACAAATACCCCCTACTAGAGCTTGGTTTGCCAACCCTTGTTTTTAAAAGTTATATGATGTGCTCTGCTTGTTCAGTATCTATTTCCTGGCTGTTTTTATCCCAGGTTCATTACATATTGGCAGTGGGAGTCAAAGGGGCCCTTGCAGAAGACCATTAACTAGGGAACACCAGATATTGCTCCGGTGAGAAGCAGAGTTATGCAAATTATACTGCCACCTAAAAGTGGAAAAATCGTCAACAGCCAAAAAAAATCCGTATCTCAAAGCAAGACACAGTAGTTCAAGAAAGAAATCTGTAGTGCAGAGCATTCAAATGTTCAGAATATTTCTACATAGCCACCGACTGCCATGTATATCATCAGCAATGGCTTCCTACTGCTCCAGAAAATCTTTGTGGTGTGTCCTTCTTTAGAATTGCTAGAGATTCTCCTTACCTAGTCATTGGGAGAATGCATAAAAAAGGAGCTAGTCGGTGCCTTGCTTTCCTTGTTCCATCATGGTGTCAATTTTTTTGCAGCAAGGAAAAGGTGTTTTAAACTTCCAGTTAGACACTGCAGGGAAGCAACCAAGTTCTCCTTTATTTGCAACTGGGAAGGGGGAGGACAAGTGATCAGCTTCAAAAAAGGAGGCAAGAATTCTGAGTAGATAGGCAGGATGAAGT